AAATAGCCATTCATTATTTAAAGAACCCATTAGCCCAGACAATAATTACCTTTTCTAAATATTAGAATACCATTTGCTTCCCTTTTTTGTTGTTCATCCCTAAGAAAATCTTCATCCCTAAGAAAATCAAACACAACAACCATTAAAAAATGCAAACGAAATGAAGAAAAGGATCCAAACAAAAAGACAATAAAGGAAATTAACATAAAAAGTTAAAAAGACACACATGTTTGCTGCAAATGAAAGAAGGAAATTAGTATGAAAAGCAAACAAAAGATGGACCACAATAATGAGGAATTCTTCTAAGACATGGAGAGTTCGGCCAAAAAAAAATGGAGAGTTCGGCCAGAGAAAAAAAAGAGAGAGAAAAAAAGAAGAAGAAGATGGTGAGTCATTTTCAAAAGCAATTAAAGTAGATAAATTTAGCAACTTACAATAAAGTTGCTTGGTTTCAATCCATGAATAATCTTTCACAGCTGGATTTGGATCACACTAGTCAGCTCACAATTTCAAGTTCAATTAATGATTTAATAGATAAATAGAACAATAGGTAAACTTACAATTGCCTTGAAAAAAATTAAGGTAGAAGCTAAATAATCATTCATTATTTAAAGAATCCAATAGCCTAGACAATAACTACCTTTTCTAAATATTAGAATACCAATGGTCTAAACCAATTTATTGATCATGTATAAATTATAAACATTTACCATCATGATGATAATGAATGGAATTCAAATAGGAATGAAAAAATCAATGCATTGCATGAAATGTGATTACAAATAACATTGTTTTTAAGGAAAAAATATAAACATTCAAATATGTGCAGAAATAGCAAGCAAGTGACATAAAAGTAGTTGAGGAACGGTAATAAATTAGTAAGATTCAAAATATTAAAGAGCTAAAAATGCTACCGAAGATAGTTATAGCTACTGTCAATATGTGCAGAAACAACATACAAGTGACATTAAAACAGTTGAAAAATTGTGATAAATTAGTAAGATTCAAAATATTAAAAAGCTAAAAATGCTACCCAAGATAGTCATAACAACTGTCCAAAGTAGTAAAGGTTTGTTGTAAAACTTTGCAACCCTAATACATAGTTTTCAACTAATAGTAATAAGTGATAAATAGTTTAAAAAGATAAAATAACCAAAAACAAATAAGCCAAAACAACACAAATTAACACAGATTTCATTACCATTTTCAAAACATTAATAAAACAAAGTCCAAAAAAAAAAAGAAAAAAATATATTATAAATCATTACATATTCATCCAAAAGAACCATCTCAACATTTTTTTCTAGTCGTGGCTGCTAGAAATTTCTTTGTTTCCAAAGCTTAATAACTCTAACCTTTAACCTCCAGAATAGTGCTAATGGAGAGAGGAAGAAGAAGAGCTATAAAAGACAAATGGTGCAAC